AAAACTGACAGATTCAAATTGAACCAGACATTTTAAAAGATGTATGGTTCAATTCATGTCCATGGGGCTTAAAAGCTCCAAAGACTTGGGTTAGATTTTCGTCTGCAACCAAGTGATATAACTGAGCCACAGTAAAATTTAAAAATAACTCTTCGGGCTTAAAAAAAGGGATATTGCGTGAAATTTTAAATCTTGAAATATCTGAAACACAATGCTAACACAGAAATATTCATTATACTGTTACGTCTTATTTGGTTGAATTCACACCCGATATTTCACACATGCTGAAAGATTATATTTTCCAGAGATTAATGATTGAGTTGACATAATGCATTGTCTTGTATACTGGGCGGAGAGCTTTCCATCAAAATTATCATTATTGTGTTAAATCATCTAATGCGGTTCCCACTTATTTCCTAAATTAAAGTTAAGTATTACAGAACGTTGACCGGGAAAACTTCATTAAATTTTCTCAGTTTCTTTACAAAAGCATGCATATTGATCGGTCTGAGTCAATTTGGCAAACTTCAGCTCATCCTTTAGATGACATCTAGTGAAGTCTTTGTCATAAAAACATGTCGAAATCATTTCACCTTCACATACAGTATAGCTATAACCTATTTCATAAAACTCTAAAGGTCAACTTGGTAAGAAATTAACTATCTGGAAGCAGAGTGGTCGCGCTGATAGGAAAATGGGTCTATATCCTCTCATCCTGCATTTCATCAGAAATGATTTTGGTTGAGGTGAGTTCTGCATCTGCTCGTCAGCTGTGCCCTGTAAAACGCCTTTTCAATTAAAACAGTTGGATTTTTCTCATGTAATATCTTTTTCGTTGTTTGCTTACATCCAACTTTAAAGATCCCTCTGATTTAAGTTTGGAGAGTGGTCTTCTAAGCTCTTTGTCAACATTCGCTCTGCTGAGAAAACGAACAGCTATAACTAAGAAGTTTAGGTTGAAACTACACTGTTTTAGTATCGTGTTAAATCTAGCAAGTTCAGTGACATTTGAATCCTAAATTGACAGGTGTGATCGATGTTTGAGGCAAGAAAACCTTTTTGCATACACAGCTCTGAAGTTCTTCTTCCGAAATACGAACAGAAAGGGATTCAGCGCCGAGTTGAGAAAACCAAACATCAACAGCACGATGTAGACTTCGTGGTCAAACGATGTCCAGTTTTTGCTGGTAATGATGTCAGAGACAAGCCAAAGGGCGTATGGCAGCCAGCAGACGAAAATAGCCAACACGAATACCGAGCTCCTTTTGGCTGCCTTGATATTCTTCAGATACATCTCTTGTTGTTCATTCGTGAGTTATTCGGATGAATTATGCTTTGTATTGCTTAGAGCCTTCTCGTGCTTTCGTATTATGTGATATACTAGAACTAAAAACGATTGTTGCTGAAGGCGTACAAAAAGGGATTAAGCGCTGAATTAGGGTA